AAGTTTATGGCATCTGAAGAAGGAATAGCAACTGTGTAAACATTCAGCCAAATGAGTACCTAGGAAGAGACTTTGGAGCACAGTTTGGGAAACGTGGATTTATGAGCTTCAATACAAGAACTATATTTTGAGAAATGCAATGGACTATTTCTCTGAGAATCTATTGTTACTGTTGGCACCAGAATGACTGGTGGGCAGGCTTAAGTTCACGACCCTCTCCATGAAAACATCCTGTATCAAAGGACAAAATTCCCAGTGTTAGATTTGGCCCTGTCCAGTGTTGTATACACAGATGGAGCTACTCATGGAGTGGGCCCTTTGTTTTCCTAGCAAGAAAACTGAGACTCAAAGAAATTAAATGCCCAGAGAGGGCAGGTGCTGTGGTGCAGGGAGATAAGCCCAGATCCCACATCAGAGTGCTGGCTTGAGTTTTGGCTATTCTTCTTCTAATCCAGCTACTTGCTAATGTGCCTGGAAAGCAATTGATGACGGTTTAAGTACTTGAGTTCCTACCACTCACATAGGAGACCTGGATGGAGTTCTTGGCCCCTGGCTTACGACTAGCCAAGCCCTGGCTGTTGTGGAATTTGAGAGGTAAACCAGTAGATGGACAATCTTCATTCATTCTCTCTCTCTCTCTCCACATAAATAAATAAATAAATATTTTTAAAAAATAAAGTAAGTGCCCAGAGCCAGACACAGGAGTAGCTCCAAGACTGGAGTCTTCTCTCCTTATTTAATTGATATTTTTATTGTATAGAGCCTTGGCAGAATTTCTATCCAACTAGTTTATTTTCAGGATTGAAGAATGGAATATGAAAAGTAGCTATTCCTTTCTTAAAATGACAAATAGCTATGATATGGTAAAGATTTTAGGCCTGACCACCACTGCCTTCATGCTCTTGAAATACATGAGCTGTGGTTCTTAACATAGGCAGAAAGTACAGAGAATTCAATGCCAAGGTTCTCATCTTCAAAGCACATGGCTCTTGCCAGGGTGTGTGTATGGTGCAGTGGGGGAGGGCTCTGACCTTGAGGCAGTTGCTGTGTCCAGCTCAAGTATCAGTCAGTGCAGCTGCTGAGTTAATCCACATTAGGGAGACATTGCTCTAGAAACCCCTGTTCCCTGCACAGCTCCCATTGAATACTCTGGACAAGGTCTTCCACACAAGGTCACTAAGTTGCTTCAGGATTGGGGTAAGGGGCACATGAACTGGGCTTTCATTGCTGCTGCTCCTACCTCTGCAAAAACTTAATTGCCACACGTATTTCCAATGAAAATCTCAATTGTCCATGGGGAGTGAGAGGGGCCTGGGGACAATGCCTGTGTTAACACTCAGTGTAATTTGTGTTTGTTAGTTGCAGGAGAGGAAAGACATCAGACGGAAGTAGATTTGACCAGGAAATAGTCACATCCATGCATGTTCAAGACATGAGGTTTCAGAGAGACCGCTTTCTAAGAGGAGCCAACTTGCTTCAATGCCTCCTTTTTCTACCTGATTATTGCCTTGCCTTGTTTTCTGACGTTGACTGGGGCATGGTGTCATGTTTCTAAAATAAATCTAAAAGTTAACACATGAAGTAGATTGAATATTATATCTACCAACTCTCTTTTCATTGATGGAGCATACAGCAGGCATGGCCTAGAAGGATGATAACCTAGAAGGTGGTACTCCAGCAAGAGGCCAGACCAGCTATGGGGTCTTTGCACAGTTTTCTGGGAGGTGTGGGGATGACAAGGGTCAAAGTTCCGCCTGTGAAAGGATGGATGGGCTTTTTATAAGACTCAATTCTTATTTATTTATTTGACAGGCAGAATGACAGAGAGAGAGGGAGAGACAGAGACAGAGAGAAAGAGAGACCTTTAATTCACTGGTTCATGATCCACATGGCTGCAATAGCTGGGGTTGGGCTGGCCATGTGCAAGGAGCCAGGAGCTCCACCCAGGACTCTCACATGGGTGGCAGGGACCCAAGTTCTTGGACCATCATCCACTGCTTTCCCAGGAGCATTAGCAGGGAGCTGGATTGGAAGTGGAGAAGCCTGTACTTGAACCAGTGCTCCTATATGGGATACTAGAGTTTAAAAGGTGGGTCAATCCTGTGGAGATCAATACTCACCTTGCTGAGAAATTCTATTTTCTTAGAGAATAAAGATGGGAGAGGCAACAATGTTTCTGTGATCTAACAAAGATTAGAAGTCCCATTCACTGCTGTTAGAGGGAGCTGAAGTTTATTTATTTATAGGAAATTAATTTGAGAGACAGAGAAAGAGAGACAGCAAGACAGAGAGATGAAGTGCTCCAATCCATGGCTTACTCCCAATTGTCTGCAATGCCAAGGCTGAGTCAAGGCTGGGACCAGGAGCTACAATGCAGTCTGGGTCTCTTATGTGGGTGCAGGAATCTAATTTTATGAGCCACCACTGCTGCCTCCCAGGGTGCACATTAGTAGGAAGCTGGAATCAATCAGGAGCAGAGCCAAAATTTCAACCCAGTTACTCTGATAATGGGATACAAGTGTCTTAATCTCTAAGCCAACTGTATACTCCTGGCATCTGGTTTTTGCCATTGTCACTCTTTCTCTTTTAAGATTTATTTCATTGAAAGACAGAGAGTAAAAGATGTCTTCCATCTGCTGGCTCACTCCCTAAATGACTGTAACATCCAGGTCTGGACCAGGCTAAAGCCAGGAGCCAGGAACTCCATCCTGGTCTCCTACAAGAGTGGCAGGACCTATGTGCTTGTGCTATCTCATGCTGCCTTCTCAGTCACATTAGTAGGAAGCTGGATCCAAAGCAGAGCAGCATGGGACTCCAAAATGGAATGCTGGCATCAAAGCCATGGCTTAACCTGCTGTGCCATAATGCCAGCCCCATGGCCAGTTTCTAACACACAACCTGCCTGTGTGCTTATGTGACGAAGTAGTAATCATCCAGCATCACAACTCAGAGACAGCAAAATCAAGGGCAGGCTTCCCTGTGCAAATGGATGTGAGGAAAGCACTTGGAATTAAAGATTTGCCTCCTTTTAGGTCTTCAGTTCAACTGCAGGGAGCTGCAATGAGTTTACAGACCAACATGTGAGCCCAAGATGCGCCTGGGCTCCGAGGCAACATCACTCCTGACATGGGGCCATCTAGGAAAGAGCGGTAGGACTAGCCATGAAGCAAGGACTCTGGTAGCACATTCTAAATGTTCAACATAAGACTAAGGACAAAGCATGAAATTCCAACAAGCCAATCTTGCAATCTTGGGACAAATGTTAACCTGGTAACTGGGTCTTGAGGTGGTGAAGGTGAACAAGGCCTGCAAAAAATTCTCAGAGGCCAGGACTTTGCTACTATCATGAGGTCTCTATTGTCAGGTCCATATCTTGTTTTGAGACCAAAGAGTAGTACTGTCTATGAGCAGGTGTCCTTCTCTTTGTGAAAGGCCTGTTCTCAAGTCCTGAGAACACGCAGCAAGGTACTCTGCAATACTGAGTGTCAATCCATCACACCCTACCCCACCCCACCTGCCACCCCCTCATCTCACCAGACAGGCATAGGGATGTCAGCATACAGGGGAGGGCTCAAGGGATAGCAGCCATGATGAAGCGAGACACTCCCCCTGCAGCCTCTGAGAAGCATTACAAGGACATGTATAGATGGTGACAAAGCCCCAAACTCGAATTCTCAGAATTGTAAACAGAACTCTTTAGACAATTATTCAGATCCACAGTTAGGCCCTGGTTCCAATAAAGCACAGTGTCTTCTCTGTCTCCATTTGCCCTCCTAAGTCCACTACCAATACTCTCTCCCCTTGTCATTAAGTCTAAGTAATGTCAGAAGGAGTTAAGTAGCTGAGCAGACCATAAGAGTGTTCAGAATATTGCACAGTGTGCAAGTTTCAAGTTGACTGTTAGACTTTGGGGGTGGGTCCTGTTCACCCACAGTTACAGACATGGCAGGGACCCCCAGAGATCCCATTACCCTTGCTGAGCAGACGGCTAATGAGGCAGAGAGGAAGCCTATGATGGGAGCTCTGTCAACCCAGGAAAAGTCATTGAGACAGAAATAGCCACGTCTTTTCAGCAACAGGGACCATGAACTACTTCTGAGCCACAGGCACAGGGAGTTGGGTCTTAGGCCCGGTGGGGTCATTTACTTAAAAGTTCCACAGGATTTGGATCTTTAAATATGAATTAAACAGAAAATTTTCAAAAGGCTATTGAAGATATTTGTCCCAAATCAAACCTCTTAACAGTAATCAAGCAAAGGCTTGATCATGAGAAAACAAAATGCAGGGACGTTATGGATTTACTTTGCTTCCCCTTCATTGTGGCTGGTGAGTGCACACTTGTGTTCTGGCTCTTCATTCATTTAGACCGCAGCAGGTGCAATTGTGACTGTACCCAGGCCACCTTTTCTCAGGGCTCTCCTCTCCCAGTAGAAAATGCTGGGGGAAGTTGAGTGTGAACATTCAAAGAGAACTGAGAAGTCAGCTCATCTGCATGGCACTCATGTTGGAACTGCCTAGGATAGCATTCCTGACAGGCAGGGGTCATCTTTCCATCTCCTGGGCATCTCTGGTGTACGCAGGGATGCTGCCACGTAATCTATGCAAACCCTACATTTTCCTGAATGAGCCCTTTGTTATTCCTCCCTACATGAAGGGCAATGAGTCCTCATAGGGACACCTTTAAAAATGCCCCCCCCAGTGGTCATCCTGGAAGGTTCACTACTACTGGATTACTGAATAATTGCTGACGGAGTCCCTGTTCTGAGTCGAGGTTCCCCTCCATGCAGGAATAGACAAAGGAGCAATCCTCCTTCTCCGGTGCCTTAAGGCAATCGTATCACAGCGAGCTTGAGTCACAATATTATCTGTGTACGTGGTTCTTTTATAGATGACTGAACCTCAAGGTTGGCAGAGAACTTCATCTGTGGGCCTACAGAAGAGTAACATTATGGAAGAAACTACATGAGATGTTAGTCAAGGGAAAAGAAAATATTTCCTACCCATTAAAGTAAAAATCAAGCTCTGAATCTGACTCCAGATGTAGTGAAGTATGAGAAAAGCCAAAAGCACTAGGCAGATTGCTAACTCCTGTGAGAAAACAAGAAGAAAGCTTCACTGACATGATCACAAATAACGTTTTCAACATTATTGAGATGGACTTTGCATTTGGGATTGGAGCCCTCCTAAACGCTCCTCCAAGGGCGCTGCACAACCATTTTCAGAGACCAGCTCCTCCTTTCTCAGCTTCCATCAGATATCTAAGAATTCCTGTAACCTCTTTAGAAATAATCAAAACCTACTCCTTTTGTAAATCTAAAACTACCTCAAAAAGGTTTTTCTCACACCAAATATTAATTTTTGCCATTTTTCATCTGTGAGACAAATGCCTGGCACAAAAGCATGCTACTTTTAATTCCCCAAATTTATTTCCTTTATTCCTTCATAAAATTGAGGTCTCTTTGAGTAGATATTGTTAAGATAAAAAGTCATTTTCTGATTTTTGGAGGAATGTTGTTTGTTTTTCATAGTCACCTGATGACCCAGAAGAACAGAACTAGAGAACACTTCTTGAACACAGTCTCTTGCCTGGGCAAGACTCACACCCAACACAACATTTAAGAAAACTCATGAGTATGAAGTAGCCATGAACACTCTTCCTTGTGAAGAAACCGTAAAGCATTTCTTCTATGGATTCTTTAAGACATGCAAACATCTAACCAAGAGTTAGGAAAAGACATAACTTCAAGTTTTCATTACAGCAACAACAAAAGGTATCAAGAGTCCCTTAAAACTTCCAGTGGTGGAAACCCTGTGCTTTTCTGCTCCCAGGAGCACAAGCTTAGGCAGCACGGATTTAGTCAAGCCAAGACGATCTTTGTTTAACCACAGCCAACATACTCTCAGAATCCATGAATCAGTGGTTATTGGCCAGAGATTGAAAACTAAGTCTAGTGTGCTCCTAGGGGTTGCTGGGAAAAGCAGGTCATTAGTCTTTGGAAGCCCAAGGAGGACAGAGGAAAGGCTGAGCAAGAGCAAGTGGCTGTCGCAGGGAACCCAAGGGCACAGGCAGTCACCGCAGACAAAGCAGCTTTCCAGGGCATGCCGGGGCTGGGCTCATTTGTGCCCCCTTCCCTGGGAAGCCAGGTGTGAGTGAGATCACCACACGTGGGCAGAGAGGAGTCAACACTTTGTTTCTTTCATATAGTGCTTTAAACAAAAGCTAACAATGGGGGGGATGAGTTGTTTCTGTATTTTCCCCAAGACCTTGGGTTCTCCCTCCCTCCCCTTTGAAAGCCCTTCTTTCTTGCGGAGGCCTATTCGAGCGGGACCCCAGAAGGCATGGGAAAGCATCCAGACACAAGAGCATCAACACTAACCTGAGAAGTAGCTGCAGGTGAACTAGTTTCCTTACCACTCACTGCTGCCCTCTCAATGGCTGCAGCTCCTGCCACTTCTGCCTTCTGCACATTCGAATCCTCAGAACCCGGAGCCCCTATTTGTCCCAGACCTTCGCTCCCTTGGGTGCAAGGTGGATTGGTGATGGCTTTCCGGGTTTGGCCTTTATACCAACTAGGGTACAACAAGGGATCCGCAGTTGCTGCTGCTGCAGGGAGTGGTGTTTCAGACTCTGTGGTCTGCTGGGAGCCAGTGGGCACCACCTCCCCCTTAATCAGGACAGATGAATTCAAAAGTAAAAAAACAAACAAAACAAAAAAGGAAGAAGAAGAAAAGGCAGTCGATTTTAGTCCTCTTTGGGTTTGAACACTGAGCTCTTTGTGTGTAGTGCCTAACTCAATGGTTGTCTTGTACATTCATCCCACACTCTAGAAGTGCTAAAGGCAGAATGCTGAAAATAGCACTCCCTGTCTGGCAGTATGGCACATGGATGCACCCCATTAACTTCTGTGCTTGTCTTTCACCAAGTGGTATCCCAAGCAGGTAGAAAGCAGAAGCCTTGAGTGAAAGTTGCTTTTAAAATATCAGATATGGGAAACGATTCAAGTTATTGACCCGTTAATTTTTGGTATTATATGTGGGACTCCAAAACCTCTTTATAAAAACCAAAACTTGATCTCATTGATCAAATCCAACTCTTATTTAGTTAATACTGTTTTTTCAATGTCAGAGCAGCTGGCATACCTGGAATTTCAAGATTCTAGGAACCATAAACACTAGTTTAGTCTGATTTTCTGAGAAACAGACCATTGACTATAATTCCACCTCTTAGTTTCCCTTCTGGGGTTCTCTTTCTACAGATAATTCCAATCCACTGTGAAAGCAAGTGCAAAAACCTTGCAAAACCTCCTCTTTAATGAGTATGAATTGCCTACAATGTCACAGGCTGGTTCCTGTCTGCTGAAGTGTCATGGAATCAGCATAAGGGTTTGGAGAGGACAGTGACCTCTTGGTAACATAAAATTAGCAGACCAAGTGCAGTGTCTGGGTTGGCCTAATTTCCTAAGATAAGCTTTAAACAATTCTGTCAATAAACAAGCTCATCAAATGATAGATACACAAGTAACCAAGCTTAATTTACTTACCCAGTGAAGGAAAGATATGATTTTATTTCAGGGTAAGCAACAGGGACATAAACTAGTGCGTTTTTTCCATTTACTTCCTCTATTATCTATGGGAAATCCAAAGCCCTGAAGGTATACTCACTTTTATTTCTTACATGATTACTCACATTATACCCTATATCTGCATTCACAAAGCAAAAAAGTAGACCCAATCACCATGGTGTTGACTGTCTATAAATTATCTTGTCCCACACACAGACACACACTTCTCAAAGACTGATTCCGAGTTGAAGGTGTTATTGCTGGGAAAGTGGTAATAAATTAAACCTTGCCAACCAGCTATCACAACAACGAACCTGTTGAATAACCTAGAAGACTTTTCTTTCTGACAGTGTGACTGTTCTGATATCATTTGTCTGCCACATATAAATGTCTAGCATTTAGTGGTCTTTTTCTTAAGATAGAAAAGATCTTTCTGGCTGTACAGCAAAGAGGCATCCTGCATGTCCTCCAGGAAGCGACTGCTGAATGGTTACCTGTGTTGCAGGGGCATCCACAGCAGGGAGCAGGGCTGCAGGTGGTTCTGGAGAGGAGACTGGAAGTGCTGCTTCCGGGGTAGCCTGGACCTCCGAGACCGACTGAAGGGGCACCATGCCTTTTCCTGGACTTTCATCTTCTCCAGATGACTCTATTTGAATACTTCCCACCTCTTCCACTTCTAATACTTCCTCGCCTCCTTCTTCTCCCTCTTCTATTTCTCCTTCTCCTTCTTCTTCTTCATCTTCATCTTCTGGTAAGGTAAGTTATTTTAAAAATTGTTACAACTACCACTGCATCCTCAAACCGTCAATGGCCAGTACTTCTTGCTCATGTTATGATCAGAACTAGGGAAGTTCTTTCCCATAGATACTTGAGAAGGGCCCAAGAGTGTCATGCTAGGGTGTTGCTTGTTTCTGGTTCAGCAAGAGCAGGACAAATGTGCAGGAACCACCACTATCACTCTTCCTGTCCTCTGTAGCACAAAGTCTTCACCCCTACTGTGCATCATACCCTCACCCTTCAGAGCCTGTTCACACTTCTGTCAGAGTCTGCCACATCTGCAAGCTCCTGCAGGGCTGGGATTGTTACTCATCTGTCTCTGTCAAATGGAAATGTACCTATCTTCCCTATCTCAGAAGATACACGCATGCACACACACCATTTTAGCTTCTTATCTCCTTTGTTCACTGTATATACTCACTTTTTGCTGCAAATAATGTCATGGTTCTTTCCCCAAACCATTGATCTTAATATTCCTTCAGGCAACATTAAGGACAGACAATATTAAGTAATTTTTAAAGAGACTGATCCCAGATAATTTGTTTTGAAAATGATATCTGTGGATTCTGGTGCAGGTGCATGGTATGACAAGTGGTTTAGCCAAGGAGTGTCATGATCTAGATGAGCTAGAATGAGGCAAGATAATCAAAGTTTGGGTCAACTCCAAGGCTATTTTCCTCTTTTCAATTATTTCATAAGGATGAAATTCTAGGAGTGGGATTTCTGGGTCCAAGGGTAAGAGATACATTTAGGGATGCAGTTATAGCTCATGAGATCCATCCAATAACACAGACCCAGTTTTATTTCCAGATTCCTAGGTTCTGACTTATTTTATGACATGTTTCTCGTTCTCTGAAATTTGAACAAGCTAATATGCAACCATATGTAGCCCAGGTGTTTTCTACATTTTGTTTTTATCTCATCCTTAACCTTGTTGCTAATGATACTTTACATCATGGTGGCTAACACTTCGAGTAGTGTTGAAGCTGAGCTATCATCATCACCACCAATTATTATGTATTTCACTATCCAGTGTCAAAGGTCTGATAATGTCATTAAAATAGGCGTATGGAATCCAAAGCTGAATAAACTCTGTCAACAAACTATATGATATTGTAATGAAGAAGAGATTATGATCCCTGTAAAGTTAGTGACATCCATTCCAGTGGTGTTTCTGAATCCCACCCCTTTTCTTCCCACCCAATTCTTTGCAGTGTTTATACACCTGCAATTTTGGTCAAATGGTCAGAAGAATGACGAACACACCTCTGTAAAAATCAATGTCACGTATTACTTTTTCTTCTCTATCGAGGTTGACTGTGAAGTGGTTCATGTTCTCATAACCATGTTCTATTTTCTCCATCTGAAATGCCTTTGATGCTTCAGAAATTCTACAATGAAGACAAATTTTAAACATATCATTGTTTAAAATTTGATAATCTTAGGTTTAAAAAACTATGCATTTGTCTTTAAAATACAAATCACTTACTTTTGTAACAGAGTTTTGGCATTCTGTGAAAGCAAACAAAAGATATGTTTACATAATTCTTTTTGTTGAAGACATTTGTGAGACTTAATTCTTATTATGCAGACTCTGAGAATCTCATAACTTAGTTTCTAATGTCATAAGTCATAGCGTTTTATAACAGAACGTTCTTATATTTAACACAAATGATAATTGAACTGTTTGAATAGATGAAGATAAGAGCATATAGGGGGTTAAAACTTTTGTTGATAACACAGGCAAAATGTATATAAAAGAGTGAAAATGTGATAATAACTTAGTTTACCAGGATCCACCTTTTGGAGTTGTTCTTTGGTACCAGAAAAAAAGACTTACCTGCAAAAACACTGCCATTTCGGGCTCGTCCATGAACTGGATGCCTGATTCAACCAACTTTGATACATTCTCCAAGTGATCAGAATACTTTTTGATCAGAGAACGGACGTGTTCCAGTTTCTCTTCTTGGGTCCGGGTAATGACTTGTGTCATTTCATTCTTCCTTTCCTCCAAGATGCCGTACAGGTAGTCAAACTTCTCACAAAGCTCCTGCTTCTGTTTTCGGCAACATTCCTGTTGGGTTAGTTGGTGTTAGAAACTATTTGAAAGAAAATTCATTTGGAGAAATCACCTTGACATTTTGGGAGACAAGAATATTTAATTATGTAGGCTATTTTTCCTTTTCCTTTAAGCTGCCCCCTTAGGTGTAGATACTCCCTGTGTTGATGCTTTAAAAAAAAAATCCCATTTTTATCAAATTTTATATTAAGACACACTCAAAATCTATCAAATTACCTAAGTGAGTCAATGATTATTCAATCTTTTTGGTTTTCTTTTTTCCAAAAGATTTACTTAGGGGGCTGGTGCTGTGGCGTAGCAAGTGAAGCTGCTGCCTACAGTGCTGGCATCCCATATGGGCGCTGGTTCCAACCTCGGCTGCTCCACTTTCGATCCAGCTCTCTGCTGTGGCCTGGGAAAGCAGTAGAAGATGGCCCAAGTCGTTGGGCCTCTGCACCCGTGTGGGAGACCCGAAGAAGCTCCTGGCTTCTGGCTTTGGATTGGCTCAGCTCTGGCCATTGCTGCCAATTGAGGAGTGAACCTGTGGATGGAAGACCTCTCTCTCTCTCTCTCTCTCTCTGCTTCTCTTCTCTCTGTGTAACTCTGACTTTCAAATAAATAAATCTTAAAAATATTTATTTATTTGAATGATAGAGTTACAAGGGAGGGGGCAAGGGGGAAAGGGAGAGGGAGCGGGAGAGGGAGAGGGAGAGGGAGAGGGAGAGGGAGAGGGAGCGGGAGAGGGAGAGGGAGAGGGAGAGGGAGAGGGAGAGGGAGAGGGAGGGAGGGAGGGAGAGAGAGAGAGAGAGAGAGATTGATCTTCCTTCCCAGATGGCTGCAACTGCGGGGCTGGGTCAGGCTGAAGCCAGAAGCCTGAAGCTTCATCTGACTCTCTTAAGAGGTTACAGAGGCTCAAGAAGTTTGGCCATCCTCCACTGTTTTCCCAGGCACACCAGAAGGGAGCTAGATCAGAGGTGGAGCAGCAGGGACTTGAACAGGCACCCACATGGAATGTCAGCATCCAGGCAGCAGCTTAACCTGCTACCCCACAATGGTGGTCCCGTCAATCTTCTTGTTATTATAAATGGAGAATGCCTTAGAAATTAGGGCTACTTTTATTCAACTAGTACATTTGGATTATGTAAACTGCAGGTTGTATTTTTTTTTTTTTTTGAGTGTGGGATGTGTATGTATGTTTGCCAATCTCCCTGGGCCTATCTCTGGGTCCAGGACCCTTACAGATGAGAGCAGATTGGGAGCTATAATGATTCAGCCTGGCTCTCCTGCCCAATGTGGATCTTCTTGGGACTCTAGTTAATTTATCTCTGACATCTCTGATCTCTGTACAACCCTAACACATGTTCTTTTGTTTTAGTAAATATTAATCTCTTTGGTGTTGTGTATGACTTTCTTCCCTTACATTACTTTCTGGAATTTCTAAACCACAGTCTCCTTGAAAATAGAATCTGGGTCTGCCTAGAACACAAACCACCTTGGATAGTAGACATTCAGTAAATACCTATTGACTAGATTTTTTAAAATTATGATTCATTTCTCTCCAATTCCTCTACTATTCTCAGAGTGGTGGAGCAGGGGAAGAAGATCTAAACCAGACTGTTGATTGTGAAGATACTCCATACACAAGATCTAAACCAGACTGTTGATTGTGAAGATACTCCATACACAAAAGTACAAGAAACATAGGACTCACTGCCCTGCCTTCCTTGGAACACAACTACTTCTCATCACAGTTCCTAACCAAATTGTAATGCATACAGGTGATTCAATGGTTCAAATAATTTAAATAGAAAATACGAGTTACTGTTGTCATCCATTCATTCACTTAATAAATAATTCACCAATTTTATGTACTGTGCAAAACTGAGAAACTAGGATACAAAAATGGGTTAAACATAGTTTCTATTTGCAAGGAGCTCATAGTTCACTGATTGATAAAGACTATTGATGAGTGATACAATATGTTACAGTAGCTTGACTAATGCAAATATGCCAGAATTTATAGAAGCCACAAGGTGAGACCTTAATAAGTGCTTTGTGTGAGTAGGGAACATTTTCAGTGGAAACATGGGTGTTAGCTCAGGGAAAGCTTAGCGGAAGTTTGGTCAAGGGACGAGTATGAGTAGAGGTGGAGGCAGGGGAGGAAAATGTCTGGAGTCTCAGCGGTTGTCAGTATAGAAGGACAAGGGCCTTGCAGCACGTCAAGGCGTGGACATTGCTGGACTTGCCAAATTTCCATCCTTTTAGCTTGAGATTTGGCCTAGGAACTGAAGCCTGTAAGTAGCTTTCCAGTCAAACTTGCTTTTGCTTTATTTTCTTCTGCGTTAAGCTTACAAGTACCATTTGTCCACTAAACCTGAACTATGTCTCTCTGCTATTTAGAAGCCCTATATGGCTTACTAGGAATATGTGATGGCTTCTGGCTTATTCTAAAATGAAGCATTTAAGACTTACATTAAGATGTGATGATGGTAGGATGCATTCATTTATAGTTTTCCTTTTATGTGATTTCATATGTGTGAGAATATCCAAGTTTATGAAAGCCAAACATTTACAATGAGATTGAAGTGAAGTAGTGTATATTTAGTATATTCTCTCAGATCAAATAAAGATTAGATCACTCACTTCCACTTTGACTGTGACCTTGTCTAAATAAGATTGGAGTTGGTGAACTCAAAAGGCTTCCATAGCTTTGGCAGCTCATGACAAGAGCCTAGGGTGATTACTGATGCCATAAACAAGAGTGTCAATTTGTTAAGTCAACAACAGGAGTCACTGTGCACTTACTCCCCATTAGGATCTCTCTCCTTAATGTGTTGTACATGTAAATTAATGCTATAATTAGTACTCAAACAGTATTGTACACTTTGTGTTTCTGTGTGGGTGCAAACTATTGAAATCTTTACTTAATATATACTAAATCAATCTTCTGTATATAAAGATAATTGAAAATGAATCTTGATGTGAATGGAATGGGAGAGAGAGCAGGAGATGGGAAGGTTGCAGGTGGGAGGGAAGTTATGGGGGGGGGGAGCCATTGTAATCCAAAAGCTGTACTTTGGAAATTTATATTTATTAAATAAAAGTTAAAAAAAGATTAGATCACTCATCTGGGCTATATAAATGTCATTTAGTGATTTACACGAAATAACTACTTTTATTCCTATATTATTTTCAGTTATAACTACCATTTTATTCCTGTTCTAGTCTTTTGATGATTTTTACTATACTGAGTTTTAATCAAATTATTATAATTTTAATAGCAAGTCTTATTTACTCATACTTTACAGAATAAAAAGTGCTACCCCATGCATGGTCTGTGCTTTGTTATAATTATTATTTCCCTACATACTTTGTAAAGCACTTATAATATTTTCTGGAATTCAGTAAGCACTGTACCGATGTTTGTTAAATCTAGTCGCAAATGTATTCATTTGAATGATTCAGTTGTGGAATTTTGAAATTGCCTTGAATCTTAAAAGTAACCTGCTCAGGTCAACCAGTTCACGAAGCGGAAACCCCAAACACAGCAGAGCAGCCGCTTTCTAAAGGCCTTTCTACCGCTCATTGCTGGTGCCTGCCTTAGAGTCCAGGGCTTCGACTTCCGGGCCACTGCTACTCACAGCACACCCAGATGTGCCCATACTTTTAAGTAACTTTAAAAAGAGACATGAAACAAAGTACTTATGAACTGAATACATATGCCTTTTAATAAGCCCCACTCTGCTGAAGGTAGGCTTTTAAAGGCAGGTAACTTCAAGTAGTTTCAGAATTACATTAATTAGTTAATTCCTTCAACAAAATCCTAGTGTTGATTACATACCAAGCATTATAAATTCCAAAAGCCTGCCATGATTTCTCAGTGTTTAAGAGAATAAAAAGTATAAAAATCGGCCGGTGGCACGGCTCAATAGGCTAACCCTCCGTCTGTGGCGCCAGCACCCCGGGTTCTAGTCCCAGTTGGGGCGCCGGTTCTGTCCCGATTGCCCCTCTTCCAGTCCAGCACACTGCTGTGGCCCAGGAGTACAGTGGAGGATGGCCCAGGTGCTTGGGTCCTGCACCCACATGGGAGACTGGGGAGGGCACCTGGCTCCTGGCTTCGGATCAGCGTGGTGTGCTGGCCGCAACGCACCTGTCGTAGCGGCCACTTGAGGGGTGAACCAACAGAAAAAGGAAGACCTTTCTCTCTGTCTCTGTCTAACATGCTTGTCAAAAAAAAAAAAAAAAAGTATAAAATTCGTCGAAAGTGACAACATAACATGTATGTAATTATTGTATTTTCTAATTTTGAACAGGAAAAAAGCCACTTTTTTTCTTGCTCCATTTGCCTTTAATAATATAATTCTGTGCAAGACATGGCCAGAATTAGACAGTTCTGTTTCAGGAATGTGGAAAAACATGTGTTGTACTTGGAATTATGAAATTGAGGCTTATAAACTTCTAGAAATTAACTTACAATATTCAGAGTAGGCTAATATTGGGTTTATATGCTAAATACACTGAGAAATTTGAAAGTCTCCCATTTTTTCCGACTCTGAGGCTGAACCAACACATGAGACTAAGTTAGACACCCTTCATCTTTCTTCACAACAAGACCATCAAGGTGCTGTGAAAGTCAGAGACCAATAAAGCCTCAGGTTATCAATTCGCCTTCCAAACTTATCAGGGAACAGGTCTGTCCTTTGAAAACAAAATGTTCTCAGAGGCCACCTAGCTACTGAGAGTGATTAGTTTGACTAAATTCACTATGGGCTGAGCCTTTGTAAATGTGAACTCATTACACTTTGAACAGCGAGTTCCTAATAACCTGAAAAGTGCAATGGGAAAAAACCGTGCATCTCTGCATTATCAACATGCCTGCAGAAAACACACTTTAAAGGATGATTGTTACCTGTAAAAGCATGATAACAGCCATGTTTATTTCTTCTCCACAAAAATTTTCTGACATCAAAGATTTCTCTCTGCATTTAGCATACTTTTTCCTTTATTTGAGTAGA